TGATCGTTTACGGCATCGGAATGTTGGCTTTGTAGATTCCCAGACTTTTCACCGGTATCGCCAGTCAGTTCGCGCCATCGCTAACTCAGAGTTACAACTTATTAAACTGACAAATGTAGAAAATCCCCTTGACCAATTTTCTGTTAAACTGTTGTAGCATCTCTCATTCCCCCTTTTTTCCCCTATCATACCTATCTCTCAGCCCCATTTCAAATGCTCCATTTACCCAATCACAACATTCTCTCTTCTCGCTTTCTCCAAGTTCGCCTAAGTATGCGTCACTTGAAGTCGATTTAATTAAGTGTAATCACCTTCACTGGTTTTGACACCGAGACTCACTCGGACGATTGAGTCCCGCTGTATGTGTATGTTGTGTATGTTTATGTCATCTGTCACCTTTAAACGCACACTTCGCACTGGCATAAACACACACACTTAACCCATATACTAACTGATATTGTACTCCCACTTCGATTTCCATACTCAAGTTTGAAATAGCTCAAGATTTTAAGCCTAGCACCTCTAATGGTGCATTATTTGGATGTTTATTTTCCTTCAATTATATATCCCCCAGGTGTACCCATACAGGCTAATTTTATGGGGTTGATTCTAGGTCTGACTTCTCTTACTGAAACCGTCTTCTTTTGACTCATTTGCTCTTTATGTTTCTCTTCCAGGCTATTTTTCGTCCTGGTATTAATAATTATCCTTAATCTAAGCGTCTTCTTTTAGTTGTTATTACTAAATCCTTAATTGCTTCAAGAGAATTTTGCAATAAGCGAAATTCTCGCTGACTGCTAACTCTTCCACTTTTCCCTTCATCAAGTTTATTTGAAATAGGATGGCTACAGCTTCCCTGTTTTTCTTTTTTTTTCTCATATCAAGCCAGACTTTCCGTTGCATTATAGTCAACCGTATGGCCATTCAGGGCAATTTTTCGACTATCTCTGATCATTCCATTATTCTCCAGAGTCACTAATATTCTCCAATTCTTGTGCTGATTATTTTTCCATTTTCTCCAATGTACTGCTGTTTACTGTCCTTGCAGTTTATTCACTACACTCAAAACCAGTCCATTTCGTTGATTCTTTTATGTTGTGTGGGCAAGTTAGTAAAGGGCGTAGTCCTTTTCTTCAGGGTTGTGCGAATATTCAATTTTATGAGTAGTGGCTGCAGCCTTCAGGTTAGTTTGCAAGAGGTTAGATATATGAATCGATTATGCTTCACGAAATCCCCTTGAATTGACCCGCTCTTAGTGGAAATTGGAGCAAATGAGAGCATAGAATAGTATGATTGGGTAACTGAGGCATATGTAGTGGGGTTTAGAGATAGGGGAGGCTATAAAAAAGGGGGCAGGAGAGATGCCACAACGTTTGAACAGAAAATCGGTCAAGGGGTTGCCTTCATTTGTCACTGATAAGATGTAACTCTGTGTTAAAGATGATACCTCTTACTGACTATACCGACGAAACGTCTGGGAATGTACGAAGTCAACATTCCGATGCTGTAAACTTTCATGAATACTATGGGAGAGTATTAGGTATGTCACATGGTCTCCCTGTCACTCCGATCAAGTTGCACAAACGAGGTAAACTTAACACTAATCGGCTTGAGGAGACGGACATCAAACTTAAGACTACACCATCTTGGTCTATATACATAATTTATTGAGGGTTACGAAAGCGAGGCTAAATCACTCCAAATATTTTTATTAAAGCTGTAATTAATGCGAAAATGTATTTGCGTAAGCTACATCGCTGAACCCTGTTCTTTTAACATATAATAACAATTTGGGCATGCCTATATGCCATTCCCCTTATTCTTAAGCAACATATCACCATGTATATTAAATAAATAAATAAATAGCTGTATATTAGTATATATACTGTTCATTAGGTTTATTACGAATATCAGTAAACTTTATTCTGGATTAAAGCTTTTTCCTCCAAAAAGTGCTTGAATCATTCCGCACGTTTTTACACAAAATAGGGCTGATATTTGCTATTTTTAGTTGTGTTTTTTCCTATAAGGTCAAGGTTATTCATTTCTGTCAAAGCGACTAATTTTAAGCAAAAGTACTTTCAAAATTGCATAATTATTGATGTATTTTATTTTCCGTAGGTTTTCGAGTCAATCAATCATTCTGATATAAGATCTGTATCCACGCTTATTCGTTTAAGACAATGAAGGACTGGTAATGAATTTTTCCATAATATTTCCGTTAATTAGCCTTCCTTTTCAAAAGTTATCTTATC